CTATTAATTTGTCTCCTTTGAGAGGACAGTTTTTACACTTGTTTCATACTCCTCTTCTCCTACACAGAACTTTTGAATACAAGTACAGACGTGAGGAGCCTAAACATATCACACTCTGTGACCTTGTATTCCAGTCATGTACCCAGGAATACAAAATAAGATCATACAGGAAAATACTTTTTTAAAAAGAATATTTTTTTAAAAAAGGAACTAAAGCCTCTTAATAATCAACATTTCCAAAGTCTGTCTTGCCCATGGTTTCATCTGTCTGGTACTGTAGGGCTGAGGGCCCCACAGGGTCATGGGTGAGCCTTATGCTGTGCTGAGGTGCAGGATCTGAGAATAAAGAGACAGGACACAGAAGTACAAAGAAAATGCAGGTGGGCTCAGGGGACCACACTACCTATAAGCGGAGTCAGGCGAGGCCCCAAATGTCCAGAAGCATGAGTATTTATTGTGTATAGGTTAGGGGGCAGGGCAGTGAGTGAAATCATCTTTAAGGATAGTGATAGGGTCGTAAGCAATAAAACATGGGGTCCACCCCCATTAGGTCACCTAGGCCAGGAGGTGGACAGTGTGCAGCAAGGGGCCTGTTTCCATGAAGGCAAGGATCGTGTGCAGTAAGGGGTCCACCCCCATTTGCTCACCGAGGCTTGAAGGTGGGCCATGTGCAGTGAAGAGGGTGCAGTGTGCAGTACTTCTATCTATGGGCAAACTACTTCTAAGAAGATTTATAGGAGGATGCTTTAAGTTACATAACAGTGACAGAGCTGTCAAGGTTACCGCCACCTTCTGGCAGCTTCCAATGAGTTCTATGGGAAGATGCTTTTGGGGCAGCACAGTAGCAAGAGCTGATAGAGTTCACAGTCACCAAGGTGGATTGCTGGTCTGAGGGCAGCCTTCCACAAGAACTGGAGCAAGGTCCTACAACTCCTTTATCAGGAGGAGTGGCTCTTGCCCCAAGCCTGCCATACAGTGGGTATCTTTACGATACTGAACGCTGCCACCTGGGCCATGGATTCTTGTCCTGGTATAACTGTTTTCCCTTAATTCATGCTCTGCACTGTGTCTGCTTTAGGGATCCCTCCAATTATAAGCTGTTTATTCCTTAATTCATGCTCTGTACTGTGTCCACTCTAGGTATTCCTCCGATTATGAGCTAAGATATAATTATAGGTATATATGCAGGGAAATATTCTTTAGGCACTCATACTGTTACCTATTATATGATTATATATAAAGGATTATATAAAGGGATTCTACAAGCCCTGATTCTATAAACTAATATATGATTATATAAAGGATTATATAAAAGGAAATAGCTGAGTAGTAACACTATAAAGTGAGACATTCTTCAAGCCCTAACTGTGCCAGAGTTCTGCTTAGCTCTTTCCTCGGTGCCTATATGGGGGGTTACCCACATGGTACCCCGACCTGCATTGTTAGGCCTCACGTCTCATTCCGCCTTCATCTCTGGGGGACCATTCCATGGGGTGTGAAAGTAGCATCTCACCTCTAGTAGATGCCCCCGTCTTCTGCTGCCAGCCCCAGGGCTCCTGGGACACCAGTGACGCAAGACACTGCAGGGGAGCCTGTGAGACCCTGGGGCAGGGGCGGTGAAGTTGAGAAGCTAACAACTGAAGGAGTGAGCCTCCACTGCCTCCAGCAGACAGGAGCAAGAGACGAAACACATCTCCATGTTGATCCTCTGGGGCAATTCTTCAAGGGTCTGTCCAGGCCCCTCAGGAAGGTCTGAGCATGGCCATGCACCAGCCACCCTCAGCAGTGACCTGGGTAGTGCATCCTTGCTATCTCTTGCTCCTCTTGGTTTCTCTCCTGTTTCCTGGGATTACCTCCCAGATAAACTCAGGCCCTTGTCTCAGACTCATCTGTTAGAGGAAACCTGAGCTATGGCAACTGCATTTATTTATTCAGTAATATTTGAGTTCCTACTGTATCCCAGACTTGAACCATCTGTATAAGTTTGTCCTCATGCTGCTGTAAAGAAATATCTGAGACTGGATAACTTATAAAGGAAACAGTTTTAATTGATTCACAGTTCATCCTGGCTGGGGTGGCCTCAGGAAACGTACAATCATGGTAGAAAGTAAAGGGGAAGCAAGGCACCTTCTTCACAAGGTGCAGGAAGAAGTGCCAAGCGAAGGGGGAAGAGTCCCTTATAAAACAATCAGATCCTGTGAGAACTCACTATCACGAGAACAGCATGGGAGAAACGGCCCCCATGATTCCATTATCTCCACTTGGCCTCTCTTTTGACACTTGGGGATTATGGGGATTACAATTCAAGATGAGATTTGGGCGTGGACGCAAAGCCTAACCATATCACCAACCAAGAAGAAAACGATGTAGGTAGCCTTGCCCTTGAGAGCTCTTGGTCTAGGACATGACAAAATGTCACCTACTGAAATTGAAGTTAGCAGATTCACATCTGTATACCTGCATAGACTGTACTAATTTCTTTTACTAAGAAATTATCTCAGTCTCAGTTTTAGCTGAATTCTCAAGATAATTGGTTTCAACTACCTCCACTTTCCAAAGTATGATACCAGGTCACTGATGCAAGGCTTACAAAATCTTGTGACCATTAGTTGACCTCTCTTGTGTCATTGGAGACACTGAGAGACGAGATGTTAACCACCACCTGTGGAGGTTAGGGATGGGTCATCAGTGGCTTTTGGAGGGTGAAATGCAGCCAATCGACCAAGAGCCCCTGTACATCTACACATTTATTCAGTAAATATTTCACAACAAAGGTTCTAAGTCAACACACTTGTGGATAATTAACATGGTTAAAAGAGTGGTTTTATGAATGATAAAAGCTTTAGGTTCCAGGCCCAGAGTAAACATTATGAACTACTATTAACCAGTAATTCCCCTTTGATCTCCCCCTGAGAGGACCATCCAGCACAAAGTTTACCTAAGTAAACAGAGTAGAGAAAAAGGGATGTGGGGTCTTTGGCCTTTTCAGTCTTCCAAAAGGTTTGAGACTAATCTATAACTTTCCCTAATATTTTCATAATATTTTGCCCGCCACCCCTAGTGAATTCCAACAGAGAGAGGTTGAGAAAGGCATATTATAAGGGCTTTTAAAAAATCATGACTGATGCTTTAATGAGGCTAAAAACTTATATGTCATGCCTTTTAGGATTTCAGTTCATGGGAGAAAAATAAGATCCCCTCTTCCTTCACATCACATGTAGAGAAATGGTGCTCCGTCTCCAAGCACCAAGGATATGTCACCCTCTCCAAGTGGTTCCAATTAGGTTGATAGGTCCACCAGGCTTAGGGACATGGTGGGCAGGTGTCTGATCTTTGACTCATAGTTGACTCATGTTCTGCCTGCTCATGGAGCAAAGAGATGTGTCCTTGGCACAAAGAAGGCACATGGATTTCTCAGGAAGCTCTTAGGGACGAGAGAGAGAGAGAGAGAGAGAGAGAGAGAGAGAGAGAGAAGGAGGAAGAAGAAGAAGAAGAAGAAGAAGAAGAAGAAGAAGAAGAAGAAGAAGAAGAAGAAGAAGAAGAAGAAGAAGAGGAAGAAGAAGAAGAAGAAAGAAGAAGAAGAAGAAGAAAAGAAGAAGAAGAAAGAAGAAGAAGAAGAAGAAAGAAGGAGGAGGAGGAGGAGGAGGAGGAGGAGGAGGAGGAGTGGTAGCACCAGGATGTCTTAAATCCTGCTCAGAGGAGGAGGAGGAGGAGGAGGAGGAGGAGGAGGAGGAGGAGGAGGAGGAGGAGTGGTAGTACCAGGATGTCTTAAATCCTGCTCAGAAGGATCTCTAGGACTCTGGAGACTACAGAGTGGATCACCAGGTGCCTTGGATTGACAGCGGCATCTTAAGCCACCAACCTGCATCACAGAATTGCAAACAAGAGATTCCTACCTAGTTGCAGGGGTGGGGAAGAAGGCAGTGCACAGTTCCTTCCATTGTCCCGTAAGACCTCTCCATCAGGACCCTGTCTATCTGTTCACCTTCACCAGTTTCTGGCTTCATGAGGTCACAGCACTCCACCTCCTGCTGCCCTTCAAACACAAGATTGCCTCTGCTTCAGAGGACCAAGTCCGCTTGGGAGGGATTTCCAGACTCACAGAACTGGCTTTTCATTTTGCTATGTTTCATCTCAAACATCACCTCCTCAGCAAGGCTAGCCTTCCCAGAAACCCTGGCTAAAGCATTTCCCAAGCCTTGGTCATTATGTTACCTTTTTTTTTTTTTTTTTTTTTTTTTTTTTTTTTTTTTTTTTTAACTTTTCTTGGCTCTACACCCACTCCTCAGGAGTAAAAATCTCAATACATTGTCAACAAATGAAAAGTAGGTATTGACTGAGCATTCAAATCCAGGTCTAACGGATCCACATTGGTGAAGGGTTGCGAGAGCCCTGCCCAGAGCAGCTGAGTTCTGCCAGATTCTGTAACTTCATGCAGCTTTACACCTGCACTGGCAATACACGTGGCTGCCGTCAGCTGAAAAGCAGCTAGTGCCATTGGTTGAAACGATAACGTTTTGGACACGCTGAGTCAAAGAAGAAATGACGCACATGGTTCTCATCAGGTTTCTATTGGACAGCGCTGCCCCGAGCCTCGGCAAGTCATTTGGCTTCTTCCTGTCTACCATCTGTCTTCTTGAGCCGACTGTAAGCTCCCTGCGGACAAGGCCTGCTCCGTTCAAGGTTGGATCTCCAGCTCCCGACACACGCCAGGTGCTCAGTCACTAATGGTCCCGCGAAGGAGTGAGTGAAGCAGGGACTGCTGCCTGGGAAAGGGGAGCAGGCTGGAAATGGGTGGTCCCCGCGGCGTCTCCCACCCGGGACCCCGCTTTAGCAGCCGGGCTCCTCCCGGGTCGGAAGGAAGCAGAGACTCGGGGTGCAGCCGAGGCGCCCGGAGGGAGGAGGAGGGGGAGGAGGGGAGGGAGGGAGGAGGGCAGGATCACCCACCCCAGCCCCAGCCCCGCCCCACCTCCGGGCAGCTCGGGGTCGCCAGGCGGCGGTATCCAGGCAACGGCCGAACACAGCCGCGGACTGGACGCGGGCGCTGCCAACCTGAGGCCGGCGGGCTCCGACTGGGCCCTGGGCGGGCGGGAAGGACCTGGGCCAAGGCTGGGGCGCAGACGGGGACGGCATGGAGGACGAGGAGGGGGAGGAGACCACCGCGTCCACGCTGCGGGGCAAGCCCAGGCCGCTGCCCGTCTCGGCGATCTCCGCCTTCAGCTACATCCCGCCGCGGCGCCTGGACCCCAAGGAGTACAGCTACTACTACCGCCAGGCGCGGGTGAGGACCGCGGACGGGGCGCACAGGCGGGGAGGCGGGGCAGGCGCGGGCGGCCGCGCAGGGGCTGGGAGAGGGGATCACCCCAGCGGAGGGGGCCTGGGGGCGGGGCTCACCCTCAGGGAGAGGGCGTGGGAGCGGGGCTCACCTTAGGAGCCGGGCTCACCTTAAGGGAGGCGGTCTGGGGGCGGGGCTCACTCTGGGGGTGTGGGGGCGGGGCTCACCTTAGGGGCGGGGCTCACCCTCGGGGAGAGGTTGTGGGGGCGGGGCTCACCTTAGGGGAGGGACTCTGGGGGCGGGGCTCACCTTAGGGGCGGGGCTCACCTTTGGGGAGGCGGTCTGGGGGCGGGGCTCACTCTCGGCTCTGCGTGGGGGCGGGGCTCACATTTGGGGAGGGGCTCTGGGGGGGGGCTCACCTTAGAAGGGGGTCCTCGGGGCGGGGCTGACCCTCGGGAAGAGGGCGTGGGGGCGGGGCTCACCTTAGGGGAGCGGCCTGGGGCGGGCATCACCTTAGGGGACGGGCTCTTGGGGCGGGTCTCACCTCAGGGGAGGCGGTCTGGGGGCGGGGCTCGCCTTAGAGGAGCGGTCTGGGGGCGGGGCTCACTTTAGGGGAGGCGGCCTGTGGGCAGGGCTCACCTTAGGGGAGGGGGACTTCGGGGTGGGGCTCTCCTTAGAGGAGAGAAATGGGGCGGGGCCCACTTTAGGGGACGTGGCCTGGGAGCGGGAATACGCCGCTGGTGACTGCTGAGGGGATCACAGTGGAGGGTCCCTGGGAGGGGCTGCAGCGCTAGGGGCTGGGGATAGAGCTCACAGCGCGGAGGGGCCCTACAGGAGGAGCGCACCTTCGGGCAGGGACCCTGGGGGCAGGGCTTCACTTCCAGGGGTGGGTTCCAGAGGCGGGGCTGGACAGCCTGTGGAGGGCCCCGGGTGGGAGCAGTCGGACAGGAAGCGGACGCGGCACGGCCAGCTGGGGAGACAGGCTGGGCGAGCTCCCATGAAGGCGCCTGGACCCCAAAGACTACAGCTAAGACGACCACCAGTGTCAGCTGAACTGCTCGGAACGAGGGAGGAGCCGGGGCTGCGAGTGGACGTCTCAGCTGGGACCAGGGGCTGAGGGTCGCGGCAATGCTCAGCTGGGACCCGGTGCTCTTCCAGGAAGGGAGCGGGAGCCACTAGGTGTCAGGATCCCTCAAAAGCACAGTGGCTCTGCCGGGACAGCAGGGCGCTCCTTCTGCCCAGGTTCTGGAGGGGGTCGCAGGAAGTTGGGGCCGCCCAGCGGGTCTTTCTGCAGGTCTGTCTGCGGCGGGTCCAGGGTAGCAAGGAAACAAGGCCTTGCCGCCGGGACTACGCCCGGATGGTCCAGGGCGCGGAAAACCCGCCGCCCGCCTGCAAACAGAAGACCAGGAGGAAGAGCTGGCGAGCCGCCTGCAGGGAGGGCTGGACTGAGAGTGGTCACTCTGTTCTGTCCTGGCCCCAGTGGTCCGTGCCCTTCCTGGGATGGGCTCTGCGGGTCTGCGAAGGCCACCTCCTACCAGCGGTCAAAGGAGCAAAAAGTAGCAAATTCAAAGCCAGCTGAGGCTCATCTACTCCTTTCTTCTCACCATTGTTCCTAAATGTCTCCAGTATGTCTTGCTCAGGATGCAGAGGCAGGGGCCTCATTGCTGAAAAGGAGCATTCACTGGGGACCCTCGGCCTGCGGGCATAACTGGGACAGGCCTTTCTAATTCTAGTTGTCCTGGTGGCTTGAGTGGCTAGAGAAGTGGCTACAGATTAGCCAGGTGTCTGGGGGGAAGGAGATCGTTCCCTTATGGTGTATAAGGTGTTACCAGAAAATGCATCCTTCATTTTCCCCCTCCCGCCCCCACAATCCTAGACCCCAAATAAAGCCCCCTTCTGATTGGGTCGGCACACATTGGCCCGCATGCCACACATAAAACGTAAGCACTCTTGGACAGCCTCAACAACGGAAGCAGTCCTGTTTCTAGTTTAGACAACTGCTGTCGGTTGAATCGTGTCCCCTTAAAATTTATGTTTTGGAGTCCTAATCCTCAATACCTTAGAAGATGAACTTATTTGGAGACAGAATTTTACAGAGATAATCAAATTAAAATGAAGTCATTAGGATGAGCCCTGTACTGGTGTCCTTGAGAAAAGGGCAAATTTGGATATAGAGGCAGACATGCATGTGTTAGTCCTTTCTCACACTGCTAATAAAGACATACTCAAGACTGGGTAATTTATAAAAAGAGGTTTAACTGACTCACAGTTCAGCATGGCTGGGGAAGACTCAGGAAACTTAAAATCAGGGTGGAAGGGGACACAAACATGTCCTTCACATGCCCACAACAAGAAGAATGAGTGCCCAATGAAGAAAGAGGACCCTTATAAAACCATCAGGTCTAGTGAGAACTAACTCACTATCAGGAGGACAAGATGGGAGAAACTACCCCCAAGATTCAGTCGTCTCCACCTGGTCCCTCCAAGGACATGTGGGAATTATGGAAACCACAATTCAAGATGAGATTTGGGTAGGGACACAGCCAAACCATATCAGGGAGGATGATGTAAAGGGATAGAGGGAGAAGACGGCTGCCTACAAGCCTCAGGGAAAGGCCTGGAATGGGGCATTCCTTCACAGCTGACTGATTCCATACTTCTCGTGCCAGAACTGTGAGACAATGAATTCTGTTGGTTAAGCCACCTCATCCGTGGTACTTAGTTTGTGCAGCCACAGCTGACAAATACAGCTGCCATAAACCTCAGCCGGCTGCCAGGAGGATCTCTGGTATCTGACAGCTCCTCTCTGCCTGGCCTTTAGCAATATGCAAAGACATGGGGGAAAGGGACATTTGCAGTCAGATCTGTCTTCAGCCCTGTTTGCCTGTTCTCCCAGGCTTGACTATCCACTGGATATTAAGACAGAAGCAAGGACACAAGGGGATGATAAGTTCCCAATCTCATTGCCTCCAGCGATGTCAGTTTTTTCCTCCTGGAAGCAATATGTTTTGAAAGAACTGTTACCTATACATAATTTCATTTATTAAATGAATTTTACATGTTAAATATTTAATACTCATGTGACTGCCAATAAATTGATAATTAATGCGTTAGCAGTATTGCACAGCATGAGATAAGCAGTTGAAAAAGTATTGAGTCTTGTTAAGTTGTTCTATGTTGTTTTGCTAAGAGGAAATAAAATTCTTCTGACAGAATAAAAACATTGATACTATGCCACATTTGAGGGGTCCTGTAAATAAGATAAAATATACAACTGGGGTGGCACCAGGAAAAAGAGCAGAACTTCTATCCCCTGTGGTCCAGTTACTGCCTAGGGAAAGGTGCTGGAATTGAGCCTGGCAGGCCCAGCTCATTCTTATATTTACTAGTCCAATAAACAGCTCCACCTTCCTGGGACCAAACTAACCAAAGGGCAGAGAGATGGCCGAGGTGTGAAGTGATGGAGACTCCATCACTTGGAAAGAGGTCATTTGGGAGTCAGCCGGAAATCTGTCCCTTTAATGCAAGGGTCAGTAAACTGAGGTTCCTTGGCCAAATGTGGCCAGCTGCCTACTTTAATAAATAAAGTTTGACTAGAACACAGCTTCACACCTATGTGTTTAGCATGTCTATAGTACCCCAGAGAGTTGTGTACATTTGGCAGAGACCATGTGACCTGCAAAGGCTAAAACAGTTACTACCTGGCTCTTTACAAGAAAAGCTTTCTGTCCCCTGCTCTAATGTATCACTACCTTCTGGAAGGTAGGTATGGAACTTAAAACAAATAATGCAAAGTGGATTTTTGAAAAAAAAAAAAAAAAAACAAAAAAACAAAAAACAAAAAACAAAAAAAATTTTTTCCATGCAGTTTGGATAGTTGAGGTCACAAACAAATTCAAGTCCTGAGGCCTTCAGTACCACGCAAAAGAAAGTAATGCAACATAAATGTTAACATCTGAATTAAAACAGCCTTGAAAGCAACAAGAATAACAAAAAAACATTTTGAAGTCCATTTGACAAATAGCTACCCATGGTAATAATCCACTCCTCAGGATGATATTAACTGGCATTCAATCAGCTGCAGGACCAAAGAACCAGTCTCTGACCTGGAGATTGTTTGGAATAAAGAGGGTAAATTCTGTGTCACAGGTTTGCTAGAGGACTCAGTTAAACCTAAATTTACTGAAAATAATTTCAGGCCCTACTTGGAAGGTCAAGGAGGGTGGATCACTTGAGATCAGGAGTTAACGACTAGCCTAGCCAAAATGGTGAAACCCCATCTCTACTAAAAATACAAAAGTTGGCTGGGTGTGGTGGCACATGCCTGTAGTCACAGCTACTCAGGAGGCTGAGGCAGGAGAATCACTTGAGCCCAGGAGGTGGAGGTTGCAGTGAGCCAAGATCATACCACTGCACTCGGGTCTGGGTGACAGAGCAAGACTTCATCTTCAAAATAATAATAATACAAGCTGAGTAGTAGAAACAGTATGGAATTAGTTCTTAAGCCAATGCTATGGTCTGAAAATTTGTGTTCCCCCAAAATACATATGTTGAAATCGTAACCCCCAAAGTGACAGTATTAGGAGGTGGGTCTTTGGGAACTGATGAGGACATGAAGGTGAAGCTGTCATGAATGGTATTATCACCCTTGTTAAAGGGACCCCAGAGAGCTCTGTTGCCCCTTCCAACATGTAAGGACACAATGAGAACATGCCATGTAGCAACCATTAAATGTTCCCTCACCAGACACCAAATCTGCCAGCATCTTAATCTTGGGCTGCCCAACCTCAAGAACCTTGAAAAATAATGTCTGTTGTTTATAAATCACCCAGTGTATAGGTATTTTGTTATAGCGGTATGATGGGACTCTTCTGTTTAGTTTATTTCTGTGTGACACACACAATAGTGTGTGTACTGATTAGTTAGTAGCGCAGGCTGAGTAATCCTAGGTAAAAATATTGGCTCCATGTTGACCAGCCATGTGGACTTGCCACACTACACACACG